CACACACACACACACACACACTCGTACACACACACACTCACAAACACACACACTCATAAGAAATGAGGTCCAGACTAAATGTCCTCACTTTAATAGTATTCTTTTGACTATTCTTCTTCTTATTAACGCTTGTTTTTGTGAAAAGTTATTGACTTGTTTATCGTTGTGTAGTTATAGGTATCGTTGCTGGTAGTTGATAAATAACTGGCAAGCACAGCTACCAACATTTATCAACTCACTCAGTATAAATAAAGTTAATGTACCTGGTTACACATTATTACAGATCACATGACATGAACTAATCCAGCTCACACTTCACCTGGCTGTGGCTCAAGTCACAGAATATTCCACTATACTAGAAGATCGGTTTGATCCCTGTCTCCCCCATTTCATGTGCCTAAGTGTCTTTGGACAAAATACTGAGCCCTATGTTGCCCCTGATGTCTGTGAATGATGTGAAGAAGAAAGTGCTGCACATATATGCACTGAATGAATGAATGGAAACACTGAGTCATCAAGACTGGAAAGATCCATATTAATACAAATCATTTATTTTACAGACCTTTTTAAACTGGCTGACGTTTAATGTAACAAAAGTTAACATTTTCTACAAGTGTGTGTGTTGAATTATTAACGTGAGCTGCTGATCATCTTTCGTTCATCAAGTAATTTCCTGAAAAGCAGCATGTGCAGGAATTATTTATCAGAGTTACATGACACTGAGCAGCACACAGACAAAACATACACACAGAACAACACACACATACGAACAACACACACACGCGCGAACAACACTTACACACAGAACAACACACACACACACATGCAGCAACCAGCTGGGGCCATCATGAGACTTGTAGCTCTGAAGCTGTGGCCTGTTAAATTCTTGTGCTCTGCTTCTTGACTCACACAACAAGACAAACGCTGGTGTCGTCCACTGTGATGCCTTTATTTGATTTAAGTAATATTTCTTTTCAAGCAAAAATGAATAAACATATCTAATTCCAGCTTGAAGTCAAAGACTGTTTGACAAACACTTCCTCCAGCTCCGCTGAGAGAAACACAAGCCTCAGTCCTTCTATCACAGCTGATCGTCACCTCATCCATCACAATTACATTTCATTACAATTCAATTAATACATTCAAACATTATTTGTGTTGATTTGATATGAATTTAGAAAACATCCAAATTCATTTCATTTCTCTGAGAGTGACGTATTTCCTTTCTCTAGACTGATAAGTGTTTCCTGTTTCTAGAGTGAAAAGTGTTTCCTTTCTCTAAAGTGAAAAGTGTTTCCTGTTTGGAGTGAAAAGTGTTTCCTGTTTGGAGTGAACAGTTTTTCCTGTTTCTAGACTGAAAAGTGTTTCCTGTTTCTAGAGTGAAAAGTGTTTACTTTTTCTAGAATGAAAAAGTGTTTCCTGTTTCTAGAGTTAAAAGTGTTTCCTGTTTGGAGTGAAAAGTGTTTCCTGTTT